TTATCAATAAAATTGCTCTATTCGACAATTTTGGAATTTTGTATTTTTTCATTTATCAACTTTTGAATTATTCAATGTTTTCAAGTTTTGAAATTTTCAGTTTTTGAATTCCTCTGTCCATGTTCATTTCAAATTTATGTTATGATTATCAGGGAGATTGCCCTATTCGATATATATTTTAAATTTTAATTTTTTTTAAAATCTTGAATTTTTCAATTAAAGTTTTTGAATTTCTCATTTTGGATTTTTTCTGTTTTTGAAGTATTCAATTTTTGAATTTATAATTTTTCTCTAATTATATATATTTTATGTTGTTACTATCATTATTGTCATTCTCCAAACGTCTTGAATTCAAAGAAACACCACAATTTTGTCTTTTATTTTTTCAATTTTTGAATTTTTCAGGTCTTGAATTAGAACTAAAAATTTAAATAAAAAACTAGAGATTACATATTATACTTTACTGGCAAAACTTATCATAGTTATCTAACTATACTATACTTAACCGTCTCTATGCATCTCAAATTTATGTAGTTCTTGCGGTGCAAAAGCACCCCATCAAAACCGTAATTTCGGATTAAGATTAAAGCTTAATCTAGCAGACTATATATTCGATAGTTGCTCCTAATGCAGCAACCAACCGTCGCTTTCTTACTGGCAATCGAATAATCCTTTATAAATTACTGGCTGGCTCTAATTATAGGCGCTCTATTGGAACGGAGAGAGTGGGAATCATCCATCTCAATTAGAAACGGATGCGATTGCGGCTAGACCTTTGCGATGATGTAAAGAAAATAAATTGCTGCTAAATATACCGCTGGAGTATCGAGGAGGGTGAATGAGGTTAGAGGAAAGTCAATAAAATTGTTTAGTTTAATGAAATTTTCGGGTGTTTTATGGAGTTCACATAGGAAATCATTTCAGGAAAATCATGAATTCACATAGGAAATTGACAGAAAATCCCATGTAAATTTTAAAAATGATGAATAAATTTTTCCTATTTTATTTTACAAAACTTGTTCGTGTGCATTTTTAAGCAGAGTTACAGTTTGAAAAGCATTTACCAACCGTTCACCTGCTTTATGTGCAATGCGAATTTTCTGTTTAAAGCTTGTCAGGCCAAGGAAACCACCCCATGATACAAAGAAAACAAGGTATGATATTGCGCAGGTTGGTCACTACGTCACAGGTGATAAGAGGCGCTATTGGTCAGCACGCTCCGCGCGCCAATTCATCGTTGTCGAGAAAAAAATAAATATACTTATTAAGAGCCCGCCTTAATTCGTTTTCTAACGATTTTTTATTTTTTAGATTAATTAGGAAACACCCTGTATATGCATATCACAGGCAACCAAATAAACTAGTAACCTCTAAAAATTATTTTTCCTACCACTAGCGACATACCGTGTTTTTAGTGTGTACTAAATTAATTTATCAAAATTTCACCATATAAGTTTCCAGGCAATGCATCAAGACGACTTTAGTAGTCTACCTCGACCTGGCAAGCTCCAAACAGAAAATGCACGTCAAGTACATTACAGTACTTGTCCATAGCGAGCACTAGATGTTAACGCCATCTAGCGGCATTCGTGCAACTAAATCGGCAACGGAAACGGCGCGCTAAGAAAGTTTCCAGCTAGTATATAAACATTAAAGACTAGAAAAAATAGAGAAAATTTTAACAGATGTTAGTAAAAACTCTTTTTTAGTTCAAAACATCCTAAAAAGAATTAATGGTTGGAAGCTTGTTAATACGTCAAAGGTGAAAGGTCCCTATTTTAGCGACGGCCGATCTGTAGCCGCAGAGCGGACGTGCGAAGTGTTTGCCAAATAGAGCAATCTCACTGATATATTGACGTAGAGGGTAGGCCAGTACAAAGCGGACCGCTGCTGACCGGTCGCTCTAGCATCGCTCTGTCTCTTTCTCCGAGCTCTGTTTTCCGTCAGTGGACAAACAACGTCGTTTGTGCCGAGTTTGGGCCCTTTGAATTTCGAAAAGATGGAAGGACAAAGGTCGAGGAGGTTTGTAATTAAGAAATTGTTGTGTTTGTTTGGATTTAAGGCGCTGGGGAACTTTATAGAATGAAAGTAGTGATAAAGAATAAGTAAAAATATCTTAATATATCTTAGGTTGGGGGGAAAGAAGCGAAAAGTTGAGAAACAAAATAAAGCAATTGAAAAATTCAAAGCCTGAAAATTTTGAAATTTATTATTTCCACCCTCTTTATTATTTTTTATCCATCTTTTTAATTTTTGATTTTTTTAATAGATTAATTCTCAAATTTTGAATTTTTCAAATTTTTATTTTTTGATTTATTCAACTTTTTTACTTTGAATTTTTCAATTTTTGAAATTTTTTATTAATTTCGAGGAACGATTAAATAAAGTGTGCCCCTACACGTCAATATAAATTTATCAGTAGAATTGCCCTAATCGGCAATTTTTTTTGTTAGAAATAAGTGGAAAGTTTAGAAATAAAATAAAGAAATTGAAAAATTCGGTAAAAAAATAGTAAAAACCTGAAATCTTCGAAATTTAAAATGAAATAAAACTAAAATTTGGTCGAGAAAAAGTCGATATGGTTGTGTTTCTTTAAATTTGAGAGGCTGCGGATGTTATAGAATGACAGTAGTAAAAATATATATTATTATAGAAAATTGATAAATTCAGAAAAGAGTAAAAATTCAAAAATTAAAAATTCAATGATACTGAAAAATTCAAAATTGAAAGATTCAAAAATACTGAAAAATTTAAAATTGAAAGATTCAAAAATACTGAAAAATTCAAAAATGAAAAATTCAAAAATTAAAAAAGTCGAATAGGTCATTTCCACTGATAATAGTGACATAGTGGAGTCCAATGCAAAGCTGACTCTTCACAGGTCACTCTAATATGTCTGTTTTTCTCTGAGCTCTGTTTTCTGTCCTTCGACAAACAACTTCGCTTGTTCTGAGTTTGGGCTTCAAAAATGTTTACTAAAAAATTGTTGCGTGTTTTTGAATTTAGGGCGATGCAGCGTGGATTTTTTTAACAATGATAATAGTGATAATTTAACAACATTAGAAAACGACAAGAAATTGAATGAAAAGGGATTCAAAAAATGAAAAATTCAAAAATATTACCAGATATTAGGTAAAGTGGTCTTTGGTGCTAAAGCTTTCTGTGTATCAATATCATTCAATTCTTCTTTTTGTTTCTTTTCTATGTAAAAACGAAACCGGACAAATTACCGGAAGGAAGGAAGCGGATGTTTCCTCCATCTCCTCGACGGCTGTGGGAATCCTTTTTATTCCCTTTTCCATCCAGAAACAAACAACGGCCGATAGAAGCCTCACCGGTAGCTAGCGCGTTCCCTCTGGTTTTCGGTCTTGTTTTTAATCTTGTTTTTGTTGTTTTTTCCGACATCGGGCGTTGAAAAGGAGGATCCGGTGACTGGAACGATCGGCCGTCGATTTAGCTCGTTGTTGCGTGATGTTTTAGGGTTTTTGCTTTGTTTTTTGTGTAGTCGAAGGTGAGGAAGTGAAAATGGTTTTAATTCGTTAAGCTATTGATGTTTTGTTATTTATTTTTCTTTGTATTGGGTTTAGTAAAACGTTGGTTGTTGGAATAAAAGGAATGTAGCGGTAGATGTAGCTGTACATAATAATCCTTCTATAAAAATCTCTGGTTGTGTGATCTTTATATTCCTCCATATTAATCCCTGGGACCTATATCTGCTTGTGCAGGTACTTGATATGTTGTAAGTGGTAGGATCTTTACTGCAGTCTGTGTAACTTTTAGGATCTTTACTGCAGTATTGCAGGTTGATCTCGTTCAGGAAACACTTTACAGCTATATGAGCTGTTAAGGAACCTGTTATAATCGGCATTTTATTCCTGCTGAGTATTAGCAGATCCTTTGTAGTTTTAAAACTATAGGTTAAACTAGTAGAGTTATACATTTGGGTATTCCCAGGACTCGGCCTTGGACTAAGATAGGATTCCGCAATGATCCTTGCTTGCTAGTTAGTCAGATTTTTCGTTGCCTTGGATGTCTCTAACTTAGTAATATACCGCTGGCAAATAAAATGGAAGGGAACATTGTTTTTTTCCGATGTGTATATGAATCTACTTGCAAAAATGTGTTATCTAAGTGAAAATCAAAATTACTAAACATCAAAAATGATGCTTAATTTTTACTGCTGACATCTCAAATACTAATAATTTCTATAATAATTTATCATTTCCTTATAAAACCGTATAAAAAAAGAGATTTTCAAAATGCCACACAAAAAAGGTTGGTATAAAAAAATTGGTGGTGGATACATATGACACAAATAAGTGATAAGACGCAGTGAAACAAAAAATAATTTTGGTTAAAATATTTCCTATAGTTATTTTTAACGGCTAAATAGTTATTCTAATATTTTTTGCATAACTTTAAGAAATATGAGACGCAGTTTCTTATATATTTTTATTATCTCTCTACAGTATTCTTCTAAATATGTCACTAATAAATAAGTATCTAGAAATTTATATACAATATATTAAGTTGTTTATTATAGTTTAGTTATACAGGGTGAGTTTTAAGTAAGTGCAATTACTTTTAGGGTTAGTATATTTCGACCCCTGAAAACACGTCTATGATGTTTTTTTGCAAATAAAAATGGAAAATTTGACATTTTTTGAAGAAAATGTTGGAATATTCTTTAATTTTCAGTTAAAAAACATAATATCTTTATAATATGGCAACATAGATAGTAGAATAAGTTTACAAAAAATAAAACCCAAAAAGATCCAGTGGTTTCCAAAATTTAAGCAAAATTTTTTTTTAATTTTCGAAATAAAATATCTCGGTTATATTAGACTTAAATTTGAAAAACGGTAAAGAGAAAATACGTTTATATGTTTCTTTTGTCAAGATCTACCAGCCCCGAAAATATTTGCACTTATTTAAGATTCGTCCTGTACAAAAAACTCAAAACCACATATATAATAACGAATACTGATGTTTCTTTTCAGATACAACAAACAAAGGGGAGTCTTCCCAACTGGGAAGAGCAATGCAGAGAGTAAGTGTACATAATTTTTTTATCAAATTTAATCTTTAGTAATCCCAAAACCCAAAATATTGCTTCAAAATTACTTTTGGTGGCATCAAATCGTGAATCTAATTTATTGAAATAGTGAAAACTAATATTCTCGAGTACTAAAATTTATTACACATTAATAGACAAAAATTACACTCATAAATTTTAGTAGACTCGATTTTATTATCAAATAAGATTCTTTAAATAAAAAAAATATAAATTTTATTCTAAGTTTCTGCACCCCCAAAGTATTACATCACGCACTGCCACTGTCTGAATTTGACACTAAAGCATCTCAACTTTTCTTGTTTTCCAAAATAGATAAAAAGCCATAAATTCTAAGCACCATTCCGGACAATATTATCTAATTGCTCGACCATAACCGATAAGGTTATCGCCCTAGAAAACTTTATTATACCCCCGAGAGTCTTGGGGGCATCGGATTTTTATATCAGATTGAAGAACACGTCCTTTAGGGCCGTAGAAACGTGCTGTTTGGAGTGTCGGACAGAGAGTGCATGAAAAAGGGACAAAAATCGAGAAAAGGGTCCAGAGTGTACTTGGATGCTCTCTAACGATCTCCTTTTCATTTGAAATAAAGTATTTTTGAGGTTGGGTCGATTAAAAAGTGATTTTTTTGAATTGGTGAGTTGTTAAGATTATAGGCTTGGTGCATTCTCCGCCGGTGCTGCCATCATCAAAGAATATCGCAAACAATTGGTATATACAAATACACTGGTTTAAATGACGAGTATACGAAAAAAAATATATAATTATTCTAGAAGTGTTAAGAAGTATAATTTGCGAAAATTCTAAAAATAAAATAAAAAAATAAATATTTTGATATCTTCAAAAGATTTAACTTGTATTATAATTTATTATTGAAGCTAATACAAATTTAAGCCACGAGTTGATTAAAAAAAAGAATATACCATTAATATTGGAAATTATATTTTATCCTCTCATAGTATATTTCTATTTAATTTTTTGATTATGTAACGAGCACTTTGTTTACTCACTTGTTTCGTCGAACTGCTTGAATCCATTTTTGCTTTCGATCAAATCGGTTTGAAAATGTTGACTCGGGAGAGTTGAGTAATCCGGTAATCTGGGGAAGTTGAATTATTGAATGTTATTGCACACATAGCAATAAGCACACGAACATGCAAAAAAAAAAAGATGAACCAGCTTGGATAACTGACAGCATAAAGGCCTTAATCAATGACAAACAAAAATTCTATCAAAGATGGCTCTCAGACCGAACAGATACTAACTGGAGTCATTACAAGCAAAATAATAGAGAGGTACGAGCCGCCATTAAGGTAGGAAAAACAGATATTTGGGAAAGAAGGTGCCAGCAAGTGGAAAGCCTAATAGGGGGCGCACGGAGTACTGAGGTATGGAGAACAATCCGACAAATGAAAACCAATCAAACTGACAAGCTCTTGAATAGAATGGATATAGAAAAATGGCGCAACTACTATGCAGAATTACTGACAGAAAACCGACCAGAATTCCGAGCAGTAGAAGATGAGAACAACCTTGCAGGCACTTTAATGATAAGCAAAAGAGAAGTACATCAAAGTTTCAAAAGAATGAAAAATGGACGGTCACCAGGTCCTGGTAATATTGTAGCCGAATTGTTAAAGTGTGGAACCCAAAGACTACGCTGGCGTCTGGCAGAGCTATTTAACCAATGCTGCCTGCAAAGTAAACTACCCCGAGAATGGCGAGTGGCTCACATAGTGTCCATCTTTAAAAAGGGAAATCGTAACGACCCCACTTGTTATAGAGGCCTAAGCATTAACAGTTCGGTCAACAGACTTTTTGGAAAGGTGTTACAGGGTAGGCTCAGGGACAGTATTGGTGACAAAATCTCGGAAGACCAAAGCGGATTCACACCGGGGAAATCTTGCACAAATAACCTTTTTGTCCTGCAGCAGGTGATGGAAAAAAGATAGCAGTAGATCAAGAAGTCCATCTAGCATTTATTGATTTGGAGAAAGCGTACGACTCTATTCCCCGCAGCAAGATATGGGAAGTATTGAATATCTTAGAAGTAGATAGACCTTTGCTTAAGATAATAAAATAGCTATATAAAGAAAATGAATCGTACGTTAAGATAGGACACAGGCTATCTAATCCAATTAACACCACAAAAGGGTTGCGACAAGGATGCAGCTTATCTCCTCTGATCTTCAACGCTTACGTCGAATTAGCCCTTAGGGAATGGAAGACGAAATATCAAGGTATGGGAATACCCATTGGGGACAACACACTATTTACCCTGAGCTTTGCAGACGATCAGGTCGTGATTGCGCAGGACTCATACGATCTAGAGTTCATGACTAAGAGGCTTTATCAAGTATACAACAAATGGGGACTTCAGGTTAGTCTAAAGAAGACCGAATACTTAGCTGTCAATTCCAACACTTGTTTTGAAGTCTTCATTAATGATAACGTCCAGATTCAACAAGTAGACAAATTTAAATACCTGGGTGCTACTATCAACAACGAGGGTTTGGGCAAAGAAGAAATACAAACCGAATTCAGAAGAGCAAACAAGTTATTGGATGTCTTAACAGCCTCTGGTGGGACCGAAACTTATCTGCAACAACTAAAAAGAGACTTGGAAGAACATTGGTGGAGTCAGTTCTTTGCTATGGTTCAGAGCTGTGGACTCTGAGTGCAGACGCGAAGCGCAAAATCCAAGTTGTTGAAATGGACTACCTTAGAAGAAGTGCAGGTATATCTAGGATGGAAAAAAAGACAAACATCGAGGTCAGGCGTATCATGAATGCATCGGAGGAGACAGTACTGGATCGAATCGAAAATCCAGCTTAAAATGGTTTGGACATGTTCTGCGTATGCCGGAGAACAGGTGGCCAAAAGAGTTTTTCAATGGGCTCCCCAGGGCAGAAGAAAGAGAGGTAGACCTAGAAAATCCTGGAACGGAACGGTTACGGAAGCAATGGAAGCTCGTAACCTAGAAGCTGATGACGCTCTAAATCGAGATGTGTGGCGTAGGGTAACGGGAAGGCAGCAATAGGCTGTAGTTGGAAATGAGTATTAAATACTTAAACTAAATCCCGTTTATATATATATATATATATATATATATATATATATATATATATATATATATATATATATATATATATATATATATATATATATATATATATATATATATATATATATATATTGCACACAGCAACCACGTAATTACGCCCTCCTTTACGCGTCAACATCTTTTCGGCAATTTTATTAACATTTGAAATTGTCAGAACACAACGTGACGCCCTTACTCACCCTGTACATCTTTATGAGCTTTCTCTCAAATTCAATCATTCTTTTTTCCTGGAATTTTCCTGAAAAATCGACAAGATGTGACCTAAATCTGACATAAAAATAACGTCTCTCTGAGATTCTCCAGGGTATCGTAAAACTTCTGTGACGATAACCTTATCCTATATGGGGGAGCAATTAAGTTATATTGTTCGGCGTGTTCTGAATTTATTGTATTTTATCTTTTTTTGACAAACGACAGATGGCTGACGTTGTATAAGATCTAGAGATTTTGTTGAAGTCCCGTAAGGTAATAAAATCAATAATAATAATAATAATATTTATAAATTATACTATATCTTTGAAATTATTTTTAGTTTTCTAATTAAATTAAATTAAATTAAAATTTATTAGGGAAGTATTTGTGCCAACGCCATCTCAGAAAGTTTCTGTTTGCTTTCTATGGTTTTTTCAATGTTTTTACGATAAATAGTAAGTTTGATGGATTCATTCAAGTTATGTTTAACAGTGTTGCTGCGCAGAAATCGTGAACTTCTGTATTTTTTCAATAATTTCTACTGGTTTTTATTGCAAAAGAACTGTTTAAAGTATTTTAAATATTTAAGACGGCTTTCCAGTGCTTAATTTGCAAAAAATGGACTGTTCCAGTCCCAAACTGATATTTCAGCTGTAAGTGACGTTCTGCCTTTTGTAGCAAAGGTGTACCTAATCTAAGTTTTAAGTAGGTTATTACAAAAAAGGATATTGAAATTAAGATTATACTTATACGATTTTTATAAACTTGAAGAGAGAGAGAGAAATAATTATTATATTATGTTAAATGATATATTATAAATTAAAATTACTTTTTACGATTGTTGATAAAAAAACAGCACGCCACTACTAGACCGAATTTTTTTACCCAGGTTTTTTTCAAGAAACGTTTATATTAGATATTTTACTGAATAAATATTTTACAGCCAATACTGAAAGAAACACCCGAAAATATATTTTTTCCTCTATATTTTCCTTATTTTGTCTGATTACCGTTATATACATGTATCGCATGTCAAATTGATGGCGTGCGAAGACTTATCGAAACGTCGTATTAATATATCATTTTCTTTATGGATTTTCAATCATACCGAGGAATTATTTATTGCGGAAATAGGTATTTTTGAACAAAACACTAATCGACAGCCTGGATTTTTCTATTAGACAAAATTACTAGTGGCATTATTATGCTATTTTGTTATTATTTTATTTTTTGGTTATTTATTATTAATATCCACTTACACCTTCATCATATTACTGAAAAAAATTAGAGAAAAAAATCTCACAATAATTAGAGTAGATAATGTTTCAGTTTAGACATTAATTTGCATATATAAAAAAAAAGAGTGTCAACGACGGTTAGAGGATGAAAATTGATGACGATTTTGGCGAGGTCAAGTCCTAGACAGTATAAAAGATATAATAAGATATAAATATAATTTATTTTTATATTGAGTAAAAATAATTTTTAAATGGTGTAGTTTAAAATTCGAGAAAAAATAATTTAAAATTTATTGATTTATCGATTTATCGATTTATGGATTTATCGATTTATCGATTTATGGATTTATGGATTTATCGATTTATCGATTTATCGATTTATGGATTTATGGATTTATGGATTTATGGATTTATTGATT